GGGTGTCAGGGGGCTTGTGCAGAACCCCCCATGCAGCGTGGGGCAGTGGGGATCACCCCCTGTCCAGCTGCACCTGGTGAGTCAGGGTTTTTTTTCCTCATGTGCCAGAAGCTGGGGCAGGCAAGACAGCCATCACCCGGGCTGGGAGAGCAGGAGGGGGGATGGGCCTGGGTGATTTGGTAGCAGATGAATCTCAGAATCAGATTCAGCCAAATCGACTGGGGACAGTGATTTTAATCATCAAACCGAATCACTGCCTCACGAATAGGCTGAATCTGAAGTGAATACCAGCCGCTCTGCACAGGCGTATATCACATTTTATTGTAAAGGAACGAACAGATACATGTTAGTTTGGATGCTTTCCTTTATTCCTGCTGAGCCAGCAGGGAACGTCCAGATTAAGGCCAAGGGTGTATGAACAGAAAAACTTTGTAGGGGTAAATAAACAAACAAACAAAAATGTTCAAATTATCTTACCTGCAATAATTGGTGGAGCTGAGCAAACCTAACTGCCTCTTGTGTAAGAGAATTGATGAGTTCAACCCAGCTCTAGATGTTTTCTATTAAAAAGGAAAAAATGAAAATATGCAGAGTTATGTGCTTCTTAAGGATCCAAAGCACTTTGGGGAGTCTTCACATCTGGGTTATTCTGGTAACCATTCTTCTCTAACTCACATTTTTAAAAGCTGCTTAGAACGAAGAATCATAGTGAAGTAGGGCTGGCTGGTCATCTAGTCCAACTCCCTGCCTGAGGCAGGATCCTCCCTATCTAAACCATCCTATACAATCTATAAATCTAAACACACACATGCCTGGTGACCCCCAGAATACTGGTCTAAGATTTAAAATAAATGAAAATTAGCCCTTTAAGAAATTTAGCAACTAATATCAGGGCCAAAGCAAGGCTGAATGACTTCAGTTATAGACCATGACAGAACCTTTAAACTTCCCATGCAGTTTTGTAGTTTCATAGTTAGTAGGGTCAGAAGGGACTTGAGCAGATCATCAAGTCCGACCCCCTTCCGTGGCAGAAAAAGTACTGGGGTCACACAACCCCAGCAAGGTGTTTGTCTAGCCTCCTCTTAAAGACCCCCAGGGCAGGAGCCAGCACCACTTTGCTTGGAAGTTGGTTCCAGATCCTAGCCGCCCTGACAGTGAAGTAGCGCCTCCTGATATCTAGTCTGAATCTACCCTCTGCCAGCTTGTGACCGTTATTTCTAGTCACTCCTGGTAGAGCATGGGGGAACAGGGACTCCCCCAATGCCTGCTGGTCCCCTCTGACTAGTTTGTAACAGGCCACAAGATCCCCCCTCAGCCTTCTCTTGTGGAGGCTGAACAGGTTCAGGTCTTGTAGTCTCTCCTCGTAGGG